GGTGTATTGATGAGTGGTGTATGATGAGTGGTGTATGATAAGTGGTGCATGATGAGTGGTGTATTGATGAGTGGTGTATTGATGGGTGGATGAACAGATCTTGAATGTCCGTAACACGGAAGTTTTGTACACTAAACTTCCTTTGGCCACATAAACAGAAGCTAATTACATAACAGAAGATAATGAACATACATTATATATATATACTATGTGTAGAAGTGTGAAGTACCCTTTGTTGTTCGACCGGATTCCGCCGTCGCCTGGATTCCGCGTGCAGAGGATCGGCCGCCTCACCATCACGCCTCACTTCCTCGCCGGGACCCTTGAAGGTTGGCACTGAGCTAAGTCTTTTGGATGTTGATTTAGCAAAATTCTGTTGACTGCCCGGAAGGACCTGAGACTGCAAGAAGAGCTCGGTGAGGAAAGAGAATGCCTCTTCGAGCTCAATGCCGGAAGGACAGTCAGAGCGAACAACTAACATAGCAGAATATGATGAACATACATCTATGGATCTATAAAGGCTTACGCCTAACAGCCGGGCGCCGGCCCACTTGGGTCTGTGGGGAGTATGTCACGCCTATGTTGGCCTTGGTGGGGCCTATATTGAGCAAAGTTAACATCTTGGGCCCATGTTGAGCCTATGTTGGGCCTATGTTGGCCTATGTTAGGCCTATGTTGGCCTAGGTTGGGCCTATGTTGGGCCTATGTTGGCGGATGTTGGCCCCATGTTGGCCTATGTTGGCCCTATGTTGAGCCATCTTGGAGGCTATGTTGGGGATATGTTGGCTATCTTGGGCCTATGTTGGGGATATGTGCGGCAATTTATGTTGAAAAAATATGAAAAAATCATGCGAGACATTTTTTGACGATTTTTCTTTCCCGCAAAGCAAAAACCCTGGAAAAACCTACGTTTTTTGACATCGCCAAGATGAAATTCTCGGCCGCCGAGGGGCCCAAAACCCTGTAAAGCACAGTGTTTCTTAGACCTCACACACACGAAACACTGTAAATTACAGGGGCATCAGTGACCCGGTGGTCCCCCCCTTTTTCGTGGCGAGGGTCGGCGGCAGCCAGGGCCAGCGTCTATAACCTTCGGTTATCACCGAAGGCCCTCCGGGCATGCCACGGGCTTCCTGGCCGGCGCCCGGATTTAACCAGGCTAACGCCTGGCAGCCGCCGACCCCCAGGGAAGTGGATGGCCTAGGTTTAATGGGTTAAGAGTGTTTTTCGAAAAATCCGGAGGGCCTAACATATCCCTAACATATCCCTAACATAGGCCCAAGATAGCCAACATATCCCCAACATATGCCCAACACAGCCTCCAAGATGGCTCAACATAGGGCCAACATGGGGCCAACATACGCCAACATAGGCCCAACCTAGGCCAACATAGGCCTAACATAGGCCAACCTAGGCCCAACACAGGCTCAACTTGGGCCCAAGATGCGCCCAACATAGACCACATGGGCTCAACTTGACCTAACCTAGGGCCAAGACGCGCACCAGATAGCTTAACTTTGCTCAATATAGGCCCCACCAAGTCTCAAAGAGAGAGAGAGAGAGGGAGAGAGCGGGGACCCAGCCCTGCACATACCCAAACCCAAATAGGCCGGCGCCCGGCTGTCAGGCGTAAGCCTCATAAATCAGGGAACCCAAAAAACAACACGGAACCCCTACGAACATGATCTGTCACTGCATCACCAAAGTAGGCAGAAGAGAGCACGGCAAATGGGTTAGCATTTTTCTTTGAAAATATGGGAACCCAAAAAACAACACGGAGCCCCTAGACAACGACAGAACTATTTAGAAAAACTAGAGAAAATCCTGGAAAAACACCCTCGCAAAAGGTCTGAAGGGCATGAGTAAATCTTACAAAAACCTTTGAAAATCCTAGAAATCCAGCGGAAAACGTTACAAAATCTAGGGAAAAACCAAGGGCGCTGGCAGGGACCAGGCCGCGACCAGCCCGGGATTTGAGCCCGGGACCATTTAGGGACCGTGCTTATTTTCCCGCACGGGTGGAGAGGGTGCCCCAATCCCCACTAAGAAGCAAACCAATACATTTGCAACAAGGCTCTGGAGGGGTAGGGGAGGTATAGCCTTAGCCTTAGCCTTAATCATAGCCTTAGCCTTCATCAACAGTCACGCCTGACCCCACGAGTGGGGTCGGCGGATATATGTGTAGAAGTGTGAAGTGCATTGTTCGCTGGTCACCTGTGAGTCGCAAACCGTCCCTTTGTTGTTCGTCCGGATTCCGCCGTCGCCACACCGACATCCAGAGGATCGACCGGATCACCATCACGCGGCCAAAACGGCACCGTTGAAGTAGTCGCCAGCCAGGTGGGGGAAGGATGGGGTTTGGACGGAGGTCCCTGCAGGGAGTGATTCCTTGTGCCAGACAAGGTGATGGTTTCGGAGATGTTGACTTTGAAAATCCATTGGCGGGCGGTGATGGTTTCGGAGACGTTTTGTTTTTCAACCCTTCAATCCGGCGCCTTCAGCACGATGAAGGCCATTGACAATGCCGCGAGGAAGGCCACGAAGGAGGCCTCGGGCAAGATGCGGAGAGGGAGATAGCACGTTTCATGCTGAGCTGAGGGTGGTCTCCAGCTTGGTCTTCTAAACATGGGGGGCTCTTTATTCAAACGGGTAGAGTCCATGGATCCAAAAACTGCCCAGCGCCATCTACGTTTAGGGCGGCTAACGGAGATCCTTTGACGCACACCGTCACGCAAATCACCGCTTCAAAGGATTTCACACTCTTCTTCTTGAACCTCATGAAACCACGCACTTTCGTCGCTTGGTCCTTTTTCGGTGGACTTCAACATGACACCCTCAACATGACACCCTACTTTCAGATCTATTCCGATTTGGGATCCACTGAACTCTCTTCACGGCAGCCCGGCGAGGCTTCGGGCTCGGATGAGTGCTCGGATGAGGAGGAGGCCGAGCTCCGGCTCCTCCTCCGCAGCCAGCAGAGGTGGCGCCTAGGCGCGGCGCCGTTTGATCGACTATTGTATACTAGCTAACTGGAGCTGAAGCTAACTGGAGCTAAAGCTATTGACACTAGAGCTAACTGGAGCTAGAGCAAAATGATGAGTGGTGTATGATGAGTGGCGTATGATGAGTGGTGTATGACGAGTGGTGTATGATGAGTGGTGCATGATGAGTGGTGTATGATGAGTGGTGTATGATGAGTGGTGTATTATGGGTGGTGCATGATGAGTGGTGTATGATGAGTGGTGTATGATGAGTGGTGTATTGATGAGTGGTGTATTGATGAGTGGTGTATTGATGAGTGGTGCATTGATGAGTGGTGTACCGATGAGTGGTGTATGATGAGTGGTGTATGATGAGTGGTGCATGATGAGTGGTGTATGATCAGGGGTTGAGGACCGGTGCCAAAGTTTAGCCCTTCAAGGCTATTTGGAGACAAGGCTTGGCGGCTTGACCATTTCAGGGAACTGATTTCTGGCGGGTCATCATCCCTGGGACTTCGAGGGATGCCCACTCCCGGGTCAACACGCCTTTCCACCACCGGCCGAAGCCGCCCGCAGGTGATCGGGCACTCGGATCCCACTGAGCAGCTGGGCGGGCCATTCTGGGGGGCTCCGGGAGGTGGGACGGTGGGAAGAGCCTCGGAGGTCGACGTGCGGACCAAGTCGTAGCCTGGTGAAAAAGGAGGCAAACAAATGAAAACCATACTTCCGAACCAAGTGCAGTACTTCACGTCTGAAATGCGTCTCCCAGTTTGATGAGGAAAAGTCGATCCTATCCTGCATGCTGAACAAACCAGGTGGTTATCCGATTGATCATGATTGATATTTGTGGTCCATTACGGTATGTGTGTTGACACTTTGTTGACTTCATCGGGAAAAGTTTGGGTGAGCCCTTGATCTACCCGTGATTTACCACTGCTAACCTGTGAAAAGATCAGGGTTTGGTGGTCAGGTTCGCATAAAACGCAATTATTTCCATGGTTTGCAAACCCTAGGTTCTCTTCGGGGATTGGCTGTAGGCTGTATAATTATAGAATAGGTAGACGTGCGTGTGCCTCCCCTGCTTCTTCCGTCCCCACTGCATGTGCGCTGATGTGTATAGTTCACGCATGTTCATGCCCATGCTATATGATCACGACACTCCATGGGACTGCCAGGCCATGCCGATCAGTTGACCCGGCACCAGCCCTGGCCTGATCGGCAAATAGACCGTACATGAAGTGTCTGGGTACCCAGACACTCCATGTGTGCCGTATATGCCTACATTGGAGTTGGTTTGAGGGGTCAATGTAGGCATATATGGCAGTCCCATGGGTCGTGTCTGGGGTATGATCACGACTGGATCGTTCTCGCACCGTGACCCACACGTCGATGAACATGGTCAAACCCCGTACTGACGGCCGTGAGAGAAGCAGGACCGACCAAGGTCTGAGACGGTTGATTTGTCGGGTTCGTCTACCTTAGGGCTCGGATCTTAGGACTCACTCGCGGCCCCAGAACCTTCATTTCATCTCCATTTGGCAGAGTTGTCCGGCACGAGCTGTAGAATTTGGGACTCAAGATTCCAAAGATACATATGACATGTCAGAGATAATTTAGTTATATACATATCATTATCCATGCTCATTTACGGCCACTTCTTTCAGTTCCACCTCCCGCAGCAGTTAAACAGTATATAGTTATAGTTAAAGCAATGAATGAATTGAGGTGGAAGGGCCATCAACAAGATGTGGTGGAGCAGATGCTGGTTGGCCTGGGCTGGCGCGTCACTGGTTTTTGTGACACCGCTGACACCCGCACGCTGGCCATCACCAGCCGGGACGGCGCGGGCGTACGATTCCTCATCACCGCCCACAAGGACCCTCGAAGCGGGCGTCGTCTCGTCATGTAGACTTTGATGTTTCAACCTCGGCCCGGTTGTTCAATCCATGTTTGGGGAAATTCAACTAATGTCGACGTAGGATGAATAAAGCCCCCCTTCCCCTTCAAGCTCAACAAGGTTTGAGATTGAAGGTAGACCACATCCCCCTAATAAAGATGATGACCTGATGATGGATGATGAGATGAGGACCTGGGCCTGATGATGGATGATGGTTGATGGGATTCTGTGGGAATCATGAGAGTTTGAACCATGCGAGCCATGAGGGTTCTGAGTGTATTGGCACAAGCTTGATGAGAGATCTGATAGGATAGATCAGAGAGCCATGCCAATGGGATCACTGCATATCAGAGCATGGAGGAGGAATAGGAGATGGAGGCTCTTGGATGCCTATACTGGATGGTCAGGTTGGTATGACCTTGTGGCCTACGACGCGCAATGGGAGAGAGATGAGCAGATAGGAAGCTGAGAAGATCAAGAAGAAGGATGAGAATGATTCGTGGATGAGAGGATCAGCATGGGAAAAGGGTGGATCAGAATGCGATCTCTCACAGAGACGGCATGAGACAAGGGTAGCCCAGAAAATGAGTTTCAGCATGAACCAGAAGATATTGGTCCGGCTACTAGCCAAAAAAGAAGGTAAATGTAAACTATGTTGATACATTTTAATAGTAGGGGGGCTCTGGTCAGGAAAAAATTCTTATAGAGGGGGATGTCAAGGTTGAAATTCAGGCTTTAAATTAGTGTAGTGTTGGTGGCTCGAACGGGGCCTGGCTGATAGAGGGGGGTTACTTAATCCTAGGTGCGCACCACAAATGATTGAGAGTCTATATAGGGCTCGCATGGGCTGCAATCCATGTCTGGTGAAATTGAGCTATGCAATTGAATTGAGGGTCCCTTCATCGGTTGTTCAATCCATGTCTTGTGAAGTTGAACTACAATTAATTGAGCGCCTATATATGCCTGTATACTTTTTCAATCCATGCCTGGTGAAATTGAACTACAATTGGTTGATGCTTGAAGAAATTAAGCCACTATAAATAATGAGAGCCTATATAGGCTTTTCAGATCTTTTCAAACCATGTTTGGTGAAATTGAGTTACAACTAATTGAGTGCCTATATCGTTTTTTCAACCTATGTCTGTGGAAATTGAACTACGATCAATCGAGAGTCTATAATAGGTTTTTCAAATCATGTCCGGGAAAATTGGACTACAATTAATTGAGATGTTATATATCGGTGTGTCAATATGTTTCAATCCATGATTGAGGAAAATTAACCTACAATTGATTGAGGGTCTATAAATATAGGTGTTTCAATACATGCAATGCCTGGGACCGTTTCATTTCAAAAGACGCTCACGACTCAGACTCGGCCGTTTTGTTGCAAAACCTTCCAGGAGCGCTCGATGTCCGACTTCGAAGTGGCCAAACGGCAGAAGACCTCCCAGGCGCAACCTGTCACCGGTGGAACCGGCCATCCAACGTTGGGTACACCGATTGGAGCCCACCGGATAGTCGGGCGTTCCGTGTGGCAACCGCAGGAACGGATCCGCAGGGTCCTTCCCTTGCAGATCCTTTTGGGGCAAGAGTCCCGTCTGGGAAGATTGGATGCGTGGAAAGCCTGAATCGTTCAGTGAAGTGCGTCCAACAGACCCCGGCATGGCCCAGGAAGCAAGCGGATCAGCTGCAGGTCACCTGCTTTAAATCCTTTTTGTGGTAGCAAGGGGATGCCCTACTCAACAAGAGCCAGAAGGCAAGTTTGGATAGCCCTGATTTTCCAGGGCTCTCTGAAAGAAAATCGGTCAAGAGTTGTCTCCAAGAACACCCCGAATTGACCCTATAGCTCCAGTCGTACCCCCTCCTCAGGTTCGGTATGACTGGATGTTTGCGGGACCCGCCGTACGGCTGGAGTCTTAGGCTGACGTCTTCCAACCATCTCGAAGGCACCAAAACCCTTTGAAAGTCGGACGCCTGCACCGCACCGGTTCGCGCGGCGCGTTGTTCGTGCAGGCGCCGCTGGCGCACCTGGCAGCCTCCAACTTGGAGCGCTTCGCGGCACACCGTGCAGGTCGCCAAGGCGGGCGCGGCCCGGTCGTTGGGTGTGGACGTGCGTGGCTTCGATTGGTCGTTGGCAGGGTGAAACGTCGGAAATCATAAGAGTTTGGAACATGTCATGTGGGTCGCAGGACTCTGGCACTTCAAGTGAAGTGGCACTGAATGGCAACATGATCTTTGCAGGTCGCCATGTGCAGGTGTTATCCATGTTAGTTTTTCTCCGTCATCGATTCAGATCGCACGACCGGTACGCGGCACAAGCGATCCAGCTTGGTACACAGCAGTGTTGGGGCCTGAAACCTGCCCTGGCTCAATGGTGTCCCAAATCTGGGTGGCGACGAGTCCAGTGAAAGACGATCTAGAATTTCCTGTCAACTGGGATTCCAGGGGTACTTGGGCTTGCCCAAACTTGCATCCAAAAAGCAGGAATGATCTTGACAGCCTGGGGCGCCGGGATCCGAGCTTCTGTTTGGTGTACGAAGAACCGAAACAGCTGACATGAAGCATTCCAGCAAAGCAGCTGCAGCTCGAGAGAACCGCTTGCGCAAAACGAATGTCGGCAATGGCAACGATGTTGATGTGATGGAAGGTCAGGGTCAGAGCACTAATTGATGTGGCCTTTTTATCATTTTTTCAAGGGAAGTACAGCAAATGGGTAGCACATCAAGAGCGCCCAACAACTTGGTGGACCATGGTGGACCTACGCACCAAGCAAAAACGGTTTTCCACATGCGCCCCTTGGCATGCAAACAACACAAAAGAACGGTGGAACATCAAAATCAAACAGGTACTTCCAAGTAATTCGATATATGACATGTTGCACCGTTGCCGTTCCTCGAACTTTGCCGGTTCGGATTTTATTTGGAGTTTTCTTTTGAGACGAAGGTCTTAGACAAATGTACCCCGCCGAAATCTAACATGGACCCTGAAAACCACCGGTGCAGCTGGAGGAGAACAGTCTGACTCAGGGCACCATTAACACCAACCAGATGATGTTAAATGGCATCACCCCGGCCGCATGCCATCAACCTCAGGCGTGGCTGTCTTGGGTTTCAAGGTGAAGCCCGGCGAACTGGCGCCTCGGCGAAGCGTCCTCCGGTGAAGCGTTCCAGAAAGCTGGGCGAGCAGACCGGTTCGGGAAGAAGGATGAAGGTGTGAACATCACTTCAACCATCTCAATATTCATCCAGCAGGTGCTACCATTTGTTTTACTATAGGATTTACTGATCTACTATAGATTTATATACTAAGGATTTGTTACATGAATAAGAACAGACTTCAAGGGACTCTATAGGGTGTCCGATCCGATTCGCTCCAGCTCAGTGCCAGAAAAAAGGGCCATGAGCGCATCACTGGTGATCACCGGGCCAGGAGCTTCCTTGGTGAACTTGTTCCCGTCACGCCTCAAGTGGTTGCTGATGTTAGGTTTTCCCCCCATGTTGCTGCATGTTCATAGGGACCAGGACCCTCCGACCCTTGGGGTGCCGAACGTCTGGAAGCCTTTTTTCTATATATCCGGTCGTGTGGGGAGGGTCGAAGCGCCAGGACACCCCCTGTCGGGTCGGAGGGTCCAGGGATGTTTGCCCATGTCTTTGGTCATTGAGTCTACGAACCTTTATGAGAACCAACGCTCACGTCGTCGTGAAGACGGGACGGTTGCCGAAACGAAGAGCACATGGCTACGTGGATGGCATGACCTTTGGGAAAACGTGGCGTCCTTGACAAGCCGATGGTTTTCACTTCCATGGTTTGGTGAGTTGGGGTGTACTTGTTTGGTGCTACTCAGTGATGCTTTAGCATACTCGTACCACGAGACATGTGTGACAAGGGACATGACTATCGTGTAGTCTACTGGAGTGCTTTCAGAGATCCAGATGTTGGTCTTGCAGTCTTGGTATACAGGTATAGCCTTCGAAGCAAGAGAAAGATCAATGCTCCATGACGATCACATAATATTGATTTAGGCTCCCCCATATGAAGCCCAGCCCTAGGGATCCACATACCTTCTCAGAAAGTACTTGGACCCTCCAAGTATACATAAAGGAGAGCCCAATCACCACCTCAGAGAGTATGTGGATCCATAGGGAAGGAGGTTTTACCCTCAAAAGCGGGCGTTATGAATCAAGAGTCTCAGGAATCATTAATATAATGAATGTGTTTGTTCTATTCATTCCGTGTCACAAGCAGAGCTTTCGACCTCCAATGATGGACATGTTCATTCATCGCTCAGTACTTGGTTCGATCCCGACCTCTTATCGACATCTCTCCAACTGCGCCCTCCAACTGCACACATCCGCGGCTCACGTCTCCACGTGCACGGCCGCCCAGGATGAGATCCATGCGAAGTATCGAGAAAAACATCCCAAGTTGCTGGCCCAGCCGCCCGTGGACTATCCGGGAGCAAGGATCATGGAGGTGGGACGGGGACTGGGACTGAGGTTTCCTTCAAGCCTCGGAAGCTTGGGAGGGGGCGCTGGAATTCCGATGTCTTGGTGGAACATGAGTTTTTGTGCCCAGAAAACTCCATGGGACTGGCATATTTATCTACATTGACCCCCTTTTCAACCACCCCAATATATGTAGATATGCCATCCAGGCCATAGGGCCGGCCACGAACTCTTGGTCACTCATTTCTCCTGCCCACTGTTTTCACAACTGCAGCTTATTGCACTTCATGAGCTTGGTGAGCGGATCGCCACCTCTGCAGCGGATTCCGCTTCCAAGACCAGCCACCTCAGCCGCCTTGGCCCTTCTCCGCAGCGCGGGTCTGCACCTCACGGCCGGTCCCTGGTTCATGGACTGGCCGTTTGGACCGCCCGGACCGACAGCTTCAAGCAACCCAAGGTAAGTATACTGCGTCAGGGGTTCCATATGAGCCCTAGCCCATCGAAGACCAGTAAAACATTGGTTCACCTGGTTTGGGTGGTCTAAAATCCTCAGCGAAACAAGGGTTAGTTCTTTGGTAGAGACCATTAAACCAATTAGTTGTTGGAACCCTACGGGGAGTACCATGGGGTAATTTGGGGTTGCAACCACTGGGTGCTTGTTTTGTTTTCCAACGGAGTTGTGGGGCGCAGTTCGAGAGAACGTTGGGTTAATAAGCCCTAAGATGTTGTGTTTTTGGTGGCAATCTTACATCGACATCCGCCTCTGGTTTTGGAAAAGTCAACTCAAAACCTATCCCCCCCACCACCAAATTTGGGAGAAACGCCATCCGCGACCTTGGTGGAAACGGAGGTCTTTGCTTTCTACAAGGGCGAGACCGGGCAGAGCGACGTTGACATTGGCACGTTACTTCGCTTTGTCGAGGCTGGGCGTGTCGCGTTGTGGAAGACTCCTTAACCTAACAATCCTAACAGAAAGAGTAGGAAACATACCCGGACCCTACAGGAAACATAGGTGTCCTGGCTGAACTATCCCACACTATAGTGCGGTAGGCTTCCAGCCAGGGCACCCCGACAGGAGGGTCCTGGTATGGAACCCCAAAAACACTTGAAGGAGCCTCATGAGTGGCCACTAGAGATGGCCTCCGGTTGAGCATTTGGGCCGCCCCAAAGTCCAAGCGTGCCGCCCGACCTGCAGAGACCAACGGCTGGTCCGGTGGTCTGTCGACGGGCGCCGTCTCCTGGATCTCTCTGAGCAGCTGCGCACGTCCCGTTTGGGGGACGAGGGTCATGCCACTCCGCCAGTCCTTCTTGGGGTCATGACTGGCTCGTTGGCTTGCATGGGTGATTGCTTAATGGGGGCTGCCCTAGTACCTGTGCCCGTCGGTAAACAATGATCACTGATCAATTTTGTTTTGAACTTAAGGCCTTTACTAACCATCGTCATCCACTGTGTTAATTGCATGATACTTGGATAGACCCGAAATATGCCGCTTGTTGAAGCCACCATCGTCACCTTCCGGGTTTGTTTCCGAGTCGGAGAGGTCCCACTCCGGAACCCTGCTTGGGGGACCGTCTTCACTGGGAATTCCGCTCTTCGTCTGACGCTGGAAGCCCCACGGACCGACCGAACCTCCGGGCTTCGTTCGCCGCTTCTTCCCGCCGACCGACCGGCCGAGCGCCAGGAGGACGAGGCGACCGCCTTCGCGGTCTTGCCGGGCATTCAGCCCGTGAAGGCGGAGGGTGTGGGGTGTGTGGAGGAGGGGGTGTGGGCGTCCAGGCGGGTGGGAAAGAGCGCCGGGGAAAAGAAAGGCGTGGGAACTCATGTCGATCCGAAGAAAAGGGGTCAGTGATACTCAGTGGAGTCGATCTGATCATGGTGGAAGTGACATGGAAATGGCCCATGATTCAAAGACCCAAACTGGTGGTGGTTGGCCCCCTATCAGGTGCTAGAGGTTTAAAGCAGCTGCTCATAGCAGCTCACTTGACGAAGAGCCCACTTGACGGGGCACGGCATGAGCAAGAGAACTCTTTTCCATGTTCGGAGGCCATAGCCCATGGGGGTAGGAGTTGATGGACAACTTCGACACCACTGTTGAAAGCAATGATGTCTTAGGTCCATCCTTCGCACCCACGGTGGACCTCCCTACAGTTCTTGGGTAGTGCGTGATGCCCATCGCGCCACCGAATCCGCTGCATCCGCTGTCCAAACGGGAGGCCACCTTTGACGATGTCAGCCTTCCTGCCTACTGCGACCATTGGGTCTCGAATGTGGTGAGCCGAAGAGGCTTTTTAGATACCTTGGAGGAGTGCGGGATAGATCCTCTCTGGCATCCGTACGGCTCGCGCCGAACCCCACGCCTCCCCCGACCCCGCGCCCGCCCTCCGCGGCAGGAGACCTTGGGCTTCACGCCCAAGGTGGACTTCAACGCCGGGGTCGTGGCCGCCGGCGAGGCGCAGATCGAGTCCACGGTCACGGGCAACGAGCCGTCGACGGTGATCCCGGATGCGATTGTGGCACTGAGACTCGATCCCGGGAGGTGGTTATATAAGACGGTGGAAAGGAGATGAAAGGGGCTGAACTGCTGAATTCCCACCATACCGCGGGGAGAGGTGATTTCTTTGTTTTTGCAGCGAATGGGTGTGAGATGGTGTGAGCATGTTTGAGCAAAGTTCCTGGTGGATCACCGACGGGCAAGATGTGATTGGATTAGCTTATGTGAGCGAGCAGTCGATGCGCAAGCAATGGCAAGTGGGACGCTAACAGGCCGCGTTTCAAAGATGCTCGGTCGGTGACATGAGTAGAATATCTCGCCGATGTTTCACACTCAATCCTCCTAATGTTGGCCGATGAATCAAGTCTCCCCACTCTAGAGGCTTGGTTTTCCTGCTAAGGAAAGACCAGAGCCAAGTCTACTTGCCCATCAACAATGCACTTTCCGAAGTGGGTCGCTCGCTTGAAGGGGAAGCAGGGACACCACGGTGGAAGGGTCGGAACATGTCAGAAACCCTTGGTATCTAAGAGAAGCTCATGGTGAAACCGCAGTGGAGGCAAATCAGAAGCAGCTTCAGAAAGGAAATAAGAACATAAACCCGTCATAAACCCATTTTGTGAACACCTGTCCATTTCATGAAACACCTGCTCATCGCATCCGTGTCTTTTCCCTTGCGATCAAGCTTTCGCATGAACATCTGGGGCCAGTAACAGTTTCCACCCACTAGCTATGCCCACGACTTAGTCATCCCCAAGTCAATGAGAATTAGGTGGATGGTTGAATGCTTAGGCTTAGACTTTGCCTACTTGTTTCGTTTCACTTCTATAGTTCAAAAGTTCCACGTTCCTTCCCACATTTGCCGACAAGAAGTTAGTCCTTGGCCTTTCATCATTCAATCCACCAGTGGTCGATCAACACCTGGACAGGTCGTAGTCCAGCATGGTAGCAACGCCTATTATGGAGCCATTTCGATGGAATATGATGGAATGCTCTTCCAGCATGCTTTCGGGTACTTAGATATCCGTTGATCCATTCTACTGTCTCAGCCAGGTGAACCATGCAATGCAATGCAATGGATCTAGCATGATCTAAAGATTGCTACGTGTGGGGCCACAATTCTTGAACTTTGGCCATGAAGGGCCGCTGTTCGTGCGGCAGGGAGCCTTTTTACTTTTGTATCTGTTCATTTGTTCTCAGGACACGTGCACCTCTATTTGAAAGAGATTGGGCAAGGCGTGCAACACATTGCTTCCAGAGTGGAGGACTTACCTACCTTGGCCTCTTTGCTGCAATTTACGCTCCCATGCCTGATTCTGTTGCGAGGGTTCTCAATGCACGCGGCGGCTTTAATGCATGGTTTGATGTACATCACTCGTCCCAGTGAGCAAGTTGTTCTGCAGATGCCTTTGCACATTACTTAGTGAGAACCTCAGCAGCCCCCCTAAAAGTACCAGCCATCACGTCATTCTTCAAAAATTCAGTCGCTGACGATGACTCGTTTGCAGGTCCAGCGTGCCAACGACATGCGCAAGATCACTGGGGCGGCTCGGGATTGTGCAAAATTAAGGGTCGGTTTTTATGTGAGAACATGATATGTTGGATCTATGTTTTCCACCTGCCTCGGGGAATCTTTGGGAGTCCTGTGGCTTGGTCTGTCTGAATCCCCCACAGACCACCGGCAGTAGGAAGGAGCACGTGCTTCACTGGGCGGTCTAGACCATGTGGCTCCACCACTTCGCGTAGCGCGAAGGCCTCAGTTCGCCTCAGCCGCCAGCGGCTCGTCGGTCTGGCTCCCCGCCAGCCGAACCGACCCGCACCGTCACCCACCTCCCCATGCCTCCCCACACCTATACCATCTATAGCTACATATACCTACCACACTAGCTACCCATCTCACCATCTCACCATTTAGTCCTCCCTCCTGAGGCTGGATTCTCCTTCTTGTCGATCCCCCCATCTTACTACGGCAGCTTGACCTCCAGGCGCCGGGTTCGTCAGCGCGACGGTCAGACCTGGGTCCAAAATGGAGCTTCGAACGAGTCCGCGGAGCGAAAGACCAAGCGAGGGGCCGCCCCTTCGGAAGTGACCAGGACCTTGAAAACTACCAGGACCGACCTGGAGGGGGGTCTTGGCTGGAGGTCCCTAGGTCGTGGGCTGGGGCGTGCAGCCAGGTGACCTCGACATGAATCAAAGGCAATCGGAAGGGTAGTGCACAGAAAGGGTTTTGCAAAAACCTATTCTATTAACGTCGTGGAAGGCGCGTGACCTTCGTAGAACCCAAGGCTGTTCGTGGACAGTTCGTGGAATGGTGGGCCAGTAGGAGAACTGACTGCAACGAAATCTCAGAAACCTTCGCAGAACTTCGACACCTCCGTTTAGCCTTCAATGAAGGTGCTGGTATGTCAATGGTATTGTTTCATGCTCCAGTCAGACCCTATGAGTCCTAAACCGGTGGAGAAAAGGGACGCATGGAATGGCGAAAAGGAGGATGAACATCTCATTAGGATTTCTTTTTCGTACAGGCAGCAGTTCTCACATGTTCTTGGTCACAGCCAGGGTTTGGTGCAAGAAAGCCTGATCCCTTCAGACATGGGGGCGAACAACTGCCAATCCAGGCAGTTGTTTCCACGTCGGCTACCGTAGCCGGGAGCTGGTGGAATTCATCGGACAAACACATTCAGATCAGACTACATGGGACTGGACTCCAAAAAAGCCCCACATTGACGCCTACATTAACCCCTTTTCAACCACCCGGATATAATGTAGACTCTTGAGGACCAACCCCCCAATTTGAATTGAACATCCTCTTCCTATGGGGGGTCTATTAAACAAGAGTCTACATTATGTAAAACATATGCCAGTCCCAAGTGTCTGGATCTGACACTGACGAAAGATGTTGTCCCAAACCGGGTCGGACAGATCCCATTTTCCTTCACCCAGGTAGACAGGTTGAATGTCTACTTGAGTTCCAGCTGGTCCAGCTGGTAGATGTCGAAGTCTAAAATGCATTCCACAAGTCACAGAGAATCAGAGTCTACCACGTTCCTTCATCTACAAGGGATGATGTAAACCATTCAGTCTACCCATCTACCACGACTCAATTCCAACAGTCACATTCCACAATGTCTGGCGGAGCCATTGTTTCTACCAGCAGTTCCATGCCGTGGTGCCGTGGTCCTGGATGGGACGAGCGACGAAGCACGTTTGTCCGTTCGCTCCAGCCATCTCCACCCGGAACTCCCAACGCTTCGGGGGCGGCATGAGAGACGTTGCGTGGCGGACGTCGCACCTCGTCGCAGGTACCTGCAGAAGTCCTCCGGCCTGGAGGGCGCGGCCGCGGAGAAGGTGATCCAAGCGTTGAAGGCCCACGGTGTGGTGGACGCCAATGACATCGTCGACCTGGAGGCGCTGCGGAGCTCGGAAGCCGTTTTGGCTCGTCCATGGGAGATGGTGGGGACCGTGGGTGGGTCTCTAACCCGGCGAATCGGGCTCCAGTCGTGCCTGAGTTTCGGTTCGGTGGGACTGGGGTGGGTAGATGCCAGGAGGGTCCAGCTTGAGGAGGTACGACTGGAGCCCGGACGGGATAGGGCAGGGAGATCCCTGCCCTGGCTGGGTAGGGTAGACTGATAACTGATAACCAAAACCCAGAGAGTCGTTGCCTGGGAGGTGCCCCTCTTAAAGAGCACTCCCTGTTGTGGGAACAAATTTTGGAAGTGTTGGATCGAGCGAAAGATGCACAGAAGACCAAGAGCAAAGACAGGAGAGTTTACCAAACAGTTTTGGGTTTCAGTGTAAATTGGGGTTCTAGACTCTAGACAATGGTAGCGGCTCTTGCCAAAAAGAGTTTGATGTTCTGGGGATTTGATGGGATTTGCGAATTTGCGGTTCTTGTTTGTTGCATTGTTGTGATTTAGTCATTTAGTAGGGGTTTATAAGGTTGCAAACCTGGGCATTGTGTTTCATTTGCGGGAGAACCAACCCACCACCCAAGCAAACAACGCGGCCTTTTATCCGTCACCACTAACACATCAGCATCCTGCATCCCACCAGTTTTTTCCCCAGCATCTCCAACATCTCGCGCAAGTTTGTGTCCTGTGAGTTTTTCACTCTGAAGTTCAGACTCTGAAGTCAAACCTCCAAAGTCCCATTGAGCTCGCAGGAGTTGCGCATTGTGATTTTCCATTTTGCAGCCACTTGCAAGTGGCTGCCAAGTGGCTGCAAGTGACTGCTACTTCTGTCCGGAAAAACATGATTTCTCCGCGCGCAGTTCTGAAGAAAACCAAGATTTCTGCAATATTCTGCAATGCTGTTCTGCGAAGAAATTCTGGTTTGCTCCCGAGCTGCGCGCGGAGAAATCATGATTATATAACAATAAATTCCAAACTTCTGCAGAGCTAGTGACGAAGAAATCTTACAGTTTTTACATCAAGAACTCCAAGCACAGTGTTGAAGTTTACTTGCTTGAGTGATAAGTGGCTGTGGCTGCCAAGTGGCGGCGAGTGACTGCACAGTCCTGTCTATGAAGTTTGGAACTATTTGCGGGAGGTCGTTCCTTCTCAAACGGAATGTAGGTCACTCCGCCGAGGATTCCCAGCCGAAGTGGTCAAACACATCCGCATCGTTGCAAGTATTCCAGAACTTGGCCTGAGTCAGAGTGATGCCAGTGAGACTGAACTAATTACTGCAACTACTGCAAGTTCTTTGGCTTGAGACTGTCCCACAAAGCCATCAGACTGCCCTTTTTTCTGTTTGAAGTCTGAGCTCCAAAAAGCTCGGGCCACAGACACATGTTTTTTTCTCAGCCAGCCCCTAAATGGCCGAAGAGTGACTCTATTGGGCCGGGCATTCCGGTGAAAATTGGGGCCCCCGAATCGAAGCTTCAGGGGAACCGGTCACTACTGGCGTCACCGGTCTTCACTTACTTGCTCAGCCTGAGAACCCCTGGCAGTTGCCAAGTGGCTGGCGTATCGCTGCGTGTGGCGTATCGCGTGGCTGGAAGGTTTCAAGAGAGAAAGTGAAGGCTGCCCTGCCGGCCCAGCACCAGGCGCATTTGTGCGGGACGGCATGGCGGGTCGCGCCATGTGCACCGGTCGTCGCACTAGGCAGGTGCCGGTGGTCATCCGACCAGGTCCGAGCAACGCGGTTCCGCGTTTCTCACCAGACGAGCTGGGTGGAAGGCCAATCGCGAACATGTGGGGGGTTAGAAGAAAATCGACCCAGAGGACTCCCGCATCAGGGGAGTGGTTGACCAGGGGTCATCGGCAGTCCGCAGTCCCATGTGTCGTGTCTGGGGAAGAAAAACATCAGTCACATGTCGGGGTGCCGAACTTGGAGGATAGGGGAGCCTGTGTCACATCCACTCACTGGATGGGACTAAATACCACTCCTTTGTGACTGCTGGATGACTCTGTTTTCCCAGAATTGGTGCAAAGGACAATCTCCAGGAAAGCCAGAAGAGGTTTTGGGAGTGAAAGCTAGGGGGTGGTTCCTGCAGACTTTCCCTTAAACCGATTCATTGATGTTTGGCCTTTGAGACGTGCAGCAAGTCAAGCTATGTGTGAATCTCCCTAAGACAATTGCAACCGGTCGATGCAGCATCGACACACCAAAAACAACGCAAAAGCGAGTTGGGCGCTTTTCACCCGAAAGGTATGAGGAGGGTTCGCGAGACCTCTGGCCATCGATGTGTGTTGGTTTTGTTTTTGGGGTGGCGATCGTTGTGCGATCGGCTTATTTGGTTCGATCGGTGTTTACAGAATCATTGTTTGCCGCGATCGTTTTTCTACCAGTCACCGGACAAAACACCGCGAGTGCAGACACTCAAGGACCTCGTCGAGCATGTGATGAGGGCCCGCTATGGCAACCTCTACTCCCTCCTCCGCGAGCATGTGAGCGAGGAGCTGCCTGACCCGTCCTGTGGTCAATGGACGTGCCCACGAGTAGATCCATGAACAGACTGACAGAGAGAAGATGTTCATCACCAATGGGAGCAAGCTCAGTTTATTTCGATGGTCCCAGTATCTAGACGGACCCCTCCCAGGGGTCGATCTTAATGACATGAAAAGCATGGGAGTCTCTTGAAAGGAGGCTGGGGCCGACTCTTTGATTGAATGGCTCTTGGGAGGTGCGGTTGGGGTGCAGTGAGGATAGTGTTCGCAGAGACGTGGCCATTCACATTTCAACAGCCGTCCACAGAGAGAGTGAGAGAGAGATAAGATCTGAACCTGTAGATCTATTGGAAGTTTTTGGTGGTTGTTGACAAATTTGGGTCTTCAACTATTTCAAGGTGATGAGCATCCTCAACTCCAGTTGCTGGATATCCGTCCGGCTTCAATTTTGCATCGCAGGAGACGTACCTTCGCATCGTTCGAAACAATGTGCTCGTCGATGCCACTTGGCCGACGCGTTGAGGATGCCCACCACACAGGTTTGGTGAAATGTTTTTTTGTCAGACTCATTTGTATTTATTACACCCTGGAAATTCACGCCCGGTTTGTAGAGGAAAATCATTTTCCAAAAGGTCCATGTTCAGGTTCCATGCGGGTCTCTTCCTGGGTGTAGTTTTATATGTTAATCGATGTTACCAGCAGTCACATGTCGGGGTGCTCAATGGAGGTTAAGGGTGCCCATTATCCACTCACTTAGGGACTAAACACCACCCCTTTGTGACTCTTGGTGTAGTTGTTTGCATAACACGTGTTGGAGTCGAAACTTGGACAACGTCCTCTCGCCACGGGTGCCGACACCACAGCTAAGATGTGCTATATGATTTGCTGAGCCAGAAATGAAATAATTACTGTATAGGAGAAAGAAATAACACAACATGCAAAAGAACGCCAATTGACAAGATCACAAGATCCACTTGTCAATTGCGGTCGCCGCATTATGCCAATTGCGGTCGCCGCATTATGCCCCTATATGCACACGCTTCAAAGAGCTGCCACCCAGGTACAGGGCGAGGATTTGTTGCTTCAGATCTTCACCTCAAGCATCCTACAGCGACAAGCTGGCGAGGAAGCACCCTTCTTAGAGTTCATTCAGCCTCTTGGCAGGGCATGTCCGCCGCAGGCGGTGGACGGAGTAGGGAGGGTCAGGGTAACGTGTGGGGAAAGCATGGCAGCGGAGCAGGCTTCGGCAGGGTCCTTAGTTTCCTGACCCCAAAGCAGTGCCCCAAATCCCTCCAAGAGCAGTGACAAGTAGCTCCAAGACCAGGAAGTCAAAGGCAACTCTGCAGTGTCCAGAGGAGGGGATGCTTGGGCCCATGGACTAGCTGTGACCCGGAGGCACCCAAAACGTTGCAAAAAACGTCAGAATGGTGCGATCAAGAGGAGGGAGGGGACCCTGAACATCTTGGATTTTCGTGTGAACCAAGCGGCCCACCCACGAGTCCATGGAGAGTTGAGCCCGGTTCTCTGAAGGGCATGCCGGGATCCGCAGCCTGAAACCGGGTGAGTCGCAAGTAGCCACACCTCATGCAGACCCGAATCAACCCACCAGAACCGTCGACCTACGAAATCCAACTTTCGCCCCTTAGGCGGGTTTGCTCTGAGCGGAAAGACCCAGTGCCTTGCCTTGATGGTTGGTGAGCGATGGTTGGCGGCGGATGCGGGGGGTTTGGGGGCCCTCACGGTACTGTGGGTCAAACAGCAAGACAAAATATGACAAAATCACATTCCAAGCTGAGTGTGGCCAAGACATTCCGACCAACACATCACATGGAATCACATGAAAAGTGGATCACAACATATCACAACCCCTGTTTTTGCAAAGGAATTTGATGCGAATCCAAGTTCGATGTGTTCATGCAACGCTCTCCTGCTTCGACTTTCAGGAGATGGGTTCGCTGAGACGCGGCCCTTTCCACTGCCCTTGGTCCACAAAACGGGCACAGACAGATCCCGTTCCGCCAATCTTTGATGGTGAAATGAGCATGCCTAGACACTCCGGGTATAATTAGCCGCATAGCCCCCCGGGTTTCCATATAGACCAAAAGACAAATGGAGCGTTTGGGGAAGGGAGTTCCTTCCAACACCGGGCCTCCTCGTTTCCTTCGATCTCGGCTCGAGGGTCAGGGCCGAAGGGTGGGGTTCAGTTCCTTCAACATGTCGCGAGCCATTTCGAGTGAAGTTGAAGCCAAAGCCATGCTTGGGTCCTTAGAACATAAATCGGTACCATGTGGGCTACTGGATGAATTTCCAAATTCGGTCTATTACATGGGTATACTGCTACGGACCCCAACATCCAAAACCACCCAACAAACTTGAAGCCGGAGCTTCACCGATTGAAAGTAACGTTGACACCATCGTTCCAAAAGCTTTGCCCAAGGCCACTGGCCAGCCGAAAGCCATCAAGGCCGGTTGCGGTGCCTTGGTGACTAACCGCATATATAGGGCATGCGGAGTGACAGCGGTGACAGCGAAGGAGTTCTTAGATAAGTCGTTCCGGGCCGGTGGGGTCCGTTTCTGTAGGGATCTAGGAAAAGTAGCCAAAACCTAGAAAGTTATCGAAAACATAACTTTTTTAGGTTCTCTCAAAAACGTGAAAAAACCTAACTTTCTTGAAAATCATCGTTTTTCTTCGTTTTGGGCCTTCGAAAAGTATAGAAAAAGTGCGTTTTCTAAAGATTTTGGTGTTTCTTGAGAAAACGTTGTTTTTCTTAACTTTCAATGAATTCAAGGGATCCGAAAAATCATTGAAAAGTTAGAAAAACTACGTTTTCTTGGATTTCAAGAAAAGTTTGCTTTTTTGATTTTCACCCGATTGCGTGAGCTATTGGCGTTCTTACCTTCAATCATAAGAAGAGCTGCGTGTGAGTGTGTACCCCTTGGAATCACAGGGATCCTTTCGGATTGTTTTTGCCTTTGTTTCTTCGTTTTGCAGCAGGGGGACCATCCATGTGCTGTGAGCGATGGTCCAACGAAGCGGCCACAGCACATGCGGATATCTGGCCTGATCAGCCAGACGTACCTGCAGTTTTACCGGAGACACTTCATCTTGGGCCCTGCTTCTAACTTGAACAAGAAATCCAGCCTCTACACCGGTTTGCTCTCGGCAGTCACGCATAGGGCTTTGGTTTGAGTTGCAGATGTGAGCGGACGACGTCATTCTGTCGGTCGATCGTTCGGTGGTTCCTCTAGACTCTATGGCCTTGCTGAACTTGTTGGACCTCCACTTCCTTTTCAGGTTTCCTTACCTGTACCCTTAGGAATTGGTACCCTAGGCCGGCGTGTGGCAGCGCTATCAAGTCAGTACGCATATCCATGAGTGTGTGTGTGTGTGTGTTTTGGAGCCTGGGTGCTGACGCTGCTCCACCTGTGGCCACTGCAGAGTGCGCTTGAGAGCTTGGGTGCTGGTGCTGCTGCAAAGTGCCTGCCGCTGCAAGGCGCACCTGCCGGTGCAGCTGCTGTGTGCGCTTGGGAGCTTGGGCGCTAACGCCGCTGCAGGGTGGGTATCCCTGCTGTGTGCGCTTGGGAGTTTGGGTGCTGGCAGCCGCTGCAGGGCGCCGCTGCTGTGTCCGCTTGGGAGCTTGGGTGCTGACGCCGCTGCAGGGTGGGTGTCGCTGCTGTGTGCGCTTCAGAGCTTGGGCGCTGATGCGGCTGCAGGGTGCCCGCAAATATGCTGTATATTTTGATTTCTGGGCTCCATGCTTGTGTAACTCATAGCAAGTCCATTTTCATTTGGACAGCGGCACGGAGGAAAGACTAAAACAAAACAGGTCGGTGACCACGTGACAAGGGAGAGGTTCGGTCGGGGTCTGAAACTGAAAGACGCATGGTTCACAGAATCATTCAACCAAAGGCCCCAAACAAGAGTGGAGAGCTTGGCAAGAACTACAAAAAACTCAGGTAGTAGCCTGCTAGACGGGCAACATCCAGGAATCTGCATAACTGTGTAGCTGTGTGTGTGGGCGCGGTGTAGGCACCAGCTATAGGCAGGTTTGTTGAAACCAGAAGCTTCATGAAGGGTTCCCTGCGCGGTCACACTAGCCCTGTCCCATGCCTGTCTTTGAAGCCATGTGCCACGACTCCGTTGAAGGGTGGGAACTCATTGGGTGTTTCAAGTTTGAAGGAACTAATGCAAAGAGCATCCTCCATGAACCACACAAAAACATCGCAATCACCATGTCCAATGTGTTGAACAGCCCGATGTTGTTGGCATTCGGCATTCTCTCGATTCCTTTCAATTACGCCATGGCAGATCACCAGTATGACCCGCTGGACTTTGTAGATCCCCTTCCACTTGGCAGAGGGGGAAGGCCCAGGGTGAGGGAGTCGTTGAAAATAGCAAGAGCTTGCAAAAAAGCGCGAAAGAACGCAGTGGCAGTGGCGGCTCCTGTGTGTTCTGCACCGCCACCAAAAGCAAGGGCGTTGGACGCAGAGTTGCAGATAGCGTCTGCTTTTCTTTGTGGAAGATTTGCGGCCTCCCACATTTCGACTGTGGCACGTCATGTGGCAAAGGCAGTGTCATCTGTGGCCCGGATTTGCGGAATGTTGACAAACCCGGCCTCAGAACTCACATCTGAGCTGGGGGAGGCTTTCGATGCTCGGTTTTTGCGTCATTCAAAATACAACGTAGTATCGATTCTCCTTCAGAAACAAGAGGAGTTCTTGGGTAGATTGGAGCAGCAGAGTCTATTTCAACAGATTTTGGTGGTTTTGTTTGTTGGCTACATGTTATATGTTTTGACATTGTGCGGGGATAAGGGTTCAGTCTAAATTGGCAATGAGAGAGTGAAACTTGACAGACCCGTTTGCCTTGCCAAGACCAAGTGAGGATACCGCGTGGCACCCGGTCAGTTTCATGACAATCACTTCCTGGATGTGGGATGAAACAGAGCAAGTTTCATCTGATGTCAAGAAGCAAACGGAGGGGCCATTGTTGGGGCTGTTGCTTGAAGGTTTCCCTATTAATGCAGCGTATTTGAAAGCGTAACTTGAATGCGCGTCCAGACTCACGTTTTTGTTTCCTTGGTGAAAGGGACGGCTCAGTACTAGTTTGTTCACGCTCGTTGTACGGCAAGTAGGGCTGTTACGCGGCTGTGCAAGGAAACGGAGTGGTGAGTCGACGTCCAACATCATTATGCCAGGTCCTCATCCTTTGATTCCTTGCGCAACCACCCAGTGAGAGACGTTGCACAAAGGTCGAGCATGGTTCAATCTGGCGAGTTCCAGCTGGTAGACTTGGGCCCATCGGATTGGGTTGCGCCCTTGGTGTTCAAGGACGTGCGGGCCGGTGGCCTATGGGCGCTGTTCACCACCAAGTTTGGAAGTGTTAGTGTTTGATTTTGTTATTCCTCACATCTCCACATGTTACGTGCTGCTGTTGGGCGGGGAGGGGGGGCGACGCACCACAGGAGCCAATAGTTGTTCCACCACTACGGTTGCAAAGGCTTACAGCAGCAGCCTTGCAAGGTGCAATGTCCAGGTGGCAGCAATTGACCGCAGGGACTGCCAGATTGCGTGTTTGAGTTTTTTTGAAAACACGTAATAGTAAGAATGGTTTGTATATACAGTAGAAACTAGAAACTAGTATATATATATATATTCTTTTTTTCCCTTTTCCGTTGAGTCTCCGCCCTCAAATAGGACTAAGCTTTGTAACGAAGCAGAAATCAATGTGCGCATTTTGACTGCGGACGGTGCAGCATCCAACAATCTGCTCAAAAAGGCGGCCATTGTGGCCTGGCCAGATCCCTTTTCCAAAGACATGCGCACTCTGAGGTTGTCAATCTCTTAGGCCTTAGGTGCACCCACACGTGTTTCTGTTCTTTTGAATAAGGCTGAGCTTGGCCATGGGGATCGTCATCTCCAGAAGCGAGGCATCCAATTGGTCAAGCCCTTGGTGTCTGAACAAACAGGCCAGCACCAAACACCTCCTGTCTTAGGTTGTGGAGACTTCCTGCGCCTGCCATGCGGTCCATTTGTGCAACAGTGAACAAACCATGCGATTGGACAGAGAATGGGCTTGGGGGTGGGAGGGGGGCTTCGGATGGAATTTTGAAATTTTCTTCAGTTGAGGTGAGAAGAATAGCAGTCAACATACTTACTGATGGAATCTGGGCTGTCATTTGAAGTTTTGATCAAAATTGACTGCGCTCTTTTTTTTGCAGGATATTCCTACAGAGTGGCAATCTTATCCGGCCCTTAGCAAAGACACCGGTGCCAGCTCCTCTGCAGGGACAGGCAGGGGGAGAGGCGCAGGTGGAAGAGGAAGGGGCAAAGCCAAAGCCAAGGCTCAAACAACGCCGGCTCCAACCACGACTGATGGACCAAAACCACCCTCCATTCCACCCTTTTTGACGAACTTGGTCCGCTGCGGAAATCAAATGAGTAATTCTTCCTCATGGTCAATTGTCCGCAGGACTCTGGCCTCCATTGTCCATAGCCGACTTAAGGTGTTGCCTCGATCAACGCTGGACAGTCAGGCCTGTGCCCAGCACAAGATTGCCAATGCTAGCATGCTAGTCAAACTAGGAAAACTACAAACACCAGAGGAACTGACCAAGTGCAAGAAAACTGCGATGACGGAGTCTTCAGAAGAGCTGTTGGAGTTCTTTGCTAGCATTTGGTCAGCAGCAGTTGTGTTTTATGTTCATTCATTTGCATCTTTTTGTGGATAGTTGCTTGGGGCTGGCGGCTGGCGCGCTCCAATGTTGCAAGGTTAGCAGGGTCGTCCAATTGGTCCTCCACGGAGATTACCATCTATGTCAATGACGAACTCGTGAACCGACCCAACCTGCGCTCTCTGATTTCGAATCATGTGACTACATTGGTGCAACACATATTTCTGTCCTGCAAGCCCGGTAGACCATCGCAATCTAGGCGAGGTAGGGTCACTTGAAACAAATTTCCTTGAAAGAGTAGTGGTACTGGCGCCAGCAGTAACAGGTGGACAGGCGTTGCTTGTGTAGCACGCTGGGGATTTGCGCTGGCTGCGTTTCATCATTTGCTGCGACCTTTGCTGGAATCCCTTGGATGCAAGCAGATGGACGGAAATGACAAGCCTGCTAACTATCTAGACTCCGATGTCCGCGCCTGAATCAAATAACATTGCATATTGGCATATTGCATTATGAACGGGAAACATGATCTAGTTAAGACCTCCAGGTGCAAACTTCGGACTCTGCCGCCTACAGAGCTCAACAGAGTACGAGGCGGCGGCAACTGGCGCAGTGGCCGATTGCTCAGCGCTTGCAATGGTCACGGTTGGGTTAGGCGTTGTGATGATAGGGCCACCGCAGTGTGAGTGTTTGCCAATCTCTCAGGGCGCAGCACCCTGCAACGGAGTTGAAACTCTTCCTTGTCTTTGAAGCGAACCTCCCGGTTCGCAGGTTGTTGTTCTATATTCTTCGCTTCGAGCGAC